CAACCAAGTAAGCGAGCCTGACCACCCGATCCCGACAAGCACAGTCGCCTTTTACGGAAAGCATGGGTTGCTGAAGGCCTATTCTACCCCGGATCTTCACGGGTTTAATGCATATGGCAACATACACCACATATACTACATTATTTCTATTTGTCAATTGGGATTTTACTGCAGCTGCCGGTGATTTTTCTCCTAAATTGCAAAGATTATAGGTGTCATTCTTCCCAGTGGTCTTGTGAAATAGTTTGGCAAATGACATGACAACATCTAGGTCACGAGATAGAGAAGGCTTACTAAAATGTTTGTGATTGCAGCTTCTCAACACGCGTTTATGCATTTCTTATTAAACTGGCTATTCAGCTCCTGTGGGAGAAAACAATTGGTCGCGATTCGTCATGGTCGGTTAGATTAGGTCAAGGTCAGCGTTAACGTTTTCGTACAACATAATTATATTATTGCAACTGTCTCAGGCTTGGTCATATCTACATGCATGGACCTTCAAGTTTGAGCGTATCTTAAAAATTCTACCACATCAAATGTCATTTATGTCAAAGCTACAGTTAGGTCACAAGTTCAGGTCAATCTTGAGGTAATGTCTTGAATACGTTATTGATACCAGACGATATTATGAAATGGACTTATCACTCCTGGACCAAGAGAGTTACTTTGGCGTATATCTCTCGAGTAGGTCAAAGGTCACTGTCACGACAAAATCGCTCAAAACTGTTTGTTGTTTCGCTTTCTCAAACATATTTAAAGCTTTTATCATTTCACTTACTATATACCTCCTTACCACAATGTCCCGAACATGGAACTAGCACAGGAGTTATTCCTGGGACTTGCTAAGAAGGGTAAACTCTCCAGTGGGATTCCATAGATCGTTAGGTTTAACTACATCAACGTCTTGGTGTGGACAAATAGTTCGTGTTTGCCTGAGGATAAGTAAAAGTAATGTAAAGGTTTAAAAATCTCTACGAAGTTATCAATATGTAGAACATGAAATATTACTAGATATTACTAGATATGTCTGTGACAACGAGACGATCTGACGATGACACCCCTTTCTGTTCGAACATTTCAAGTTAAAAATTGTAGAACAGTCATATGATATCATCTTTTCCTGGTTCTTCTAGCCGTAGAAAAGGTCTAGCTTGTGTTCATATATCCGTGTTGCATCCAATTGTCGTAGAGACAGACTAGCTTTGTTTTTTTTTCCAGATGAACCTTTGACTTGCCTTTGCATGTATTTGTGACGGATGCCCAGGTGGGGCAGGATTCGCTCACATTTCGCGACCACATGGTATCATTACTATTTGATAGTGATTCATAAACACATGCTCATGATAAAGTTGGAATCGTACAATCGACTCTGCATTTTGCAGATATTTCTATTGGATATGGAAAGGGTTTTGTCGCTTTATCTTCATTTATTCGTATTGCATCTATGTGTCGAAGAGAAAGTCTAGCCTTGTGTTCATATATCCATGTTGCATCTATCTGTCGAAGAGAAAGTCTAGTCTTGTGTTCATATATCCATGTTGCATCTATCTGCCGTAGTGAAAGTCTTGCCGTGTGTTCATATATCCGTGTTGCATCCATCTGTGGTAGTGAAAGTCTAGCCTTGTATTCATATATCCTTGTTGCGTCCTTCTGTTGTAGTGAAAGTCTAGCCTTGTGTTCATATATCCGTGTTGCGTCTTTCTGTTGTAGTGAAAGTCTAGCCTTGTGTTCATATATCCGTGTTGCGTCTTTCTGTTGTAGTGAAAGTCTAGCCTTGTGTTCATATATCTGTGTTGCGTCCTTCTGTTTTGGTGAAAGTCTTGCCTTGTGTTCATATATCCGTGTTGCATCCATCTGTGGAAGTGAAAGTCTAGCCTTGTATTCATATATTCGTGTTGCATCCTTCTGTTGTAGTGAAAGTCTAGCCTTGTGTTCATATATCCGTGTTGCGTCCGGCTGTTGTGGTGAAAGTCTTGCCGTGTGTTCAAATATCCGTGTTGCATCCATCTGTGGTAGTGAAAGTCTAGCCTTGTGTTCATATATCCGTGTTGCGTCCTTCTGTTGTAGTGAAAGTCTAGCCTTGTGTTCATATATCCGTGTTGCGTCCTTCTGTTGTAGTGAAAGTCTAGCCTTGTGTTCATATATCCATGTTGCGTCCTTCTGTTGTGGTGAAAGTCTAGCTTTGTGTTCATATATCCGTGTTGCGTCCTTCTGTTGTGGTGAAAGTCTAGCCTTGTGTTCATATATCCGTGTTGCATCCTTCTGTTGTAGTGAAAGTCTAGCCTTGTGTTCATATATCCGTGTTGCGTCCGGCTGTTGTGGTGAAAGTCTTGCCGTGTGTTCAAATATCCGTGTTGCATCCATCTGTGGTAGTGAAAGTCTAGCCTTGTGTTCATATATCCGTGTTGCGTCCTTCTGTTGTAGTGAAAGTCTAGCCTTGTGTTCATATATCCATGTTGCGTCCTTCTGTTGTGGTGAAAGTCTAGCTTTGTGTTCATATATCCGTGTTGCGTCCTTCTGTTGTGGTGAAAGTCTAGCCTTGTGTTCATATATCCGTGTTGCGTCCTTCTGTTGTGGTGAAAGTCTAGCCTTGTGTTCAAATATCCGTGTTGCGTCCTTCTGTTGTAGTGAAAGTCTAGCCTTGTGTTCATATATCCGTGTTGCGTCCTTCTGTTGTGGTGAAAGTCTAGCCTTGTGTTCATATATCCGTGTTGCGTCCTTCTGTTGTGGTGAAAGTCTAGCCTTGTGTTCATATACCCGTGTTGCGTCCTTCTTTTGTGGTGAAAGTCTAGCCTTGTGTTCATATATCCGTGTTGCGTCCTTCTGTTGTAGTGAAAGTCTAGCCTTGTGTTCATATATCCGTGTTGCGTCCTTCTGTTGTGGTGAAAGTCTAGCCTTGTGTTCATATATCCGTGTTGCGTCCTTCTGTTGTAGTGAAAGTTTAGCCTTGTGTTCATATACCCGTGTTGCGTCCTTCTGTTGTGGTGAAAGTCTAGCCTTGTGTTCATATATCCGTGTTGCGTCCTTTTGTTGTAATGAAAGTCTAGCCTTGTGTTCATATATCCGTGTTGCATCCATCTGTTGTAGTGAAAGTCTAGTCTTGGGTTCATATATCCATGTTGCGTCCTTCCGTTGTAGTGAAAGTCTAGCCTTGTGTTCATATATCCGTGTTGCGTCCTTCTGTTGTAGTGAAAGTCTAGCCTTGTATGCATATATTCGTGTTGCATCCATCTGTGGTAGTGAAAGTCTAGCCTTGTGTTCATATATCCGTGTTGCATCCATCTGTTGTAGTGACAGTCTTGCCTTGTGTTCATATATCCGTGTTGCATCCATCTGTGGTCGTGAAAATCTAGCCTTGTGTTCATATATCCGTGTTGCATCCATCTGTTGTAGTGAAAGTCTTGCCTTGTGTTCATATATCCGTGTTGCGTCCTTCTGTTGTAGTGAAAATCTAGCCTTGTGTTCAAATATCCGTGTTGCGTCCTTCTGTTGAAATTAAAGTCTAGCCTTGTGTTCATATATCCGTGTTGCGTCCTTCTGTTGTGGTGAAAGTCTAGCCTTGTGTTCAAATATCCGTGTTGCGTCCTTCTGTTGTAGTGAAAGTCTAGCCTTGTGTTCATATATCCGTGTTGCGTCCTTCTGTTGTGGTGAAAGTCTAGCCTTGTGTTCATATATCCGTGTTGCGTCCTTCTGTTGTGGTGAAAGTCTAGCCTTGTGTTCATATACCCGTGTTGCGTCCTTCTTTTGTGGTGAAAGTCTAGCCTTGTGTTCATATATCCGTGTTGCGTCCTTCTGTTGTAGTGAAAGTCTAGCCTTGTGTTCATATATCCGTGTTGCGTCCTTCTGTTGTGGTGAAAGTCTAGCCTTGTGTTCATATATCCGTGTTGCGTCCTTCTGTTGTAGTGAAAGTTTAGCCTTGTGTTCATATACCCGTGTTGCGTCCTTCTGTTGTGGTGAAAGTCTAGCCTTGTGTTCATATATCCGTGTTGCGTCCTTTTGTTGTAATGAAAGTCTAGCCTTGTGTTCATATATCCGTGTTGCATCCTTCTGTTGTAGTGAAAGTCTAGTCTTGGGTTCATATATCCATGTTGCGTCCTTCCGTTGTAGTGAAAGTCTAGCCTTGTGTTCATATATCCGTGTTGCGTCCTTCTGTTGTAGTGAAAGTCTAGCCTTGTATGCATATATTCGTGTTGCATCCATCTGTGGTAGTGAAAGTCTAGCCTTGTGTTCATATATCCGTGTTGCATCCATCTGTTGTAGTGACAGTCTTGCCTTGTGTTCATATATCCGTGTTGCATCCATCTGTGGTAGTGAAAATCTAGCCTTGTGTTCATATATCCGTGTTGCATCCATCTGTTGTAGTGAAAGTCTTGCCTTGTGTTCATATATCCGTGTTGCGTCCTTCTGTTGTAGTGAAAATCTAGCCTTGTGTTCATATATCCGTGTTGCGTCCTTCTGTTGAAATGAAAGTCTAGCCTTGTGTTCATATATCCGTGTTACGTCCTTCTGTTGTAGTGAAAATCTAGCCTCTGTAAATTGCAGGTTTATCCAGATTGTATTCAAGTATGTTGTAATCTGTAAAGAGAATCTAGACATAGAGTTTGCGATCATTGGTCCGCCATAATATAGTGTGCCGGTATTCTCTCTCCTGTCAAGCTGAACAAAACAAGAGTCAGCCCTATTTCTTTATGTGTCCCCGTCAATAGGTTTATGGGTGTTCCTGAATAAAGATACAGCGCCGTAGATGAAAACCCATTTCTTAAAGGTTATCGCTGCCACACGGGATGAAAAAAACAAACAATTATTTCTCAGTGTTTGTTGTGTAATATACACAAATTCATGGTATTAAATCAAAGCTTTGTCAAGTTTGGTTATAACAATGTCGGTGTATATATTGCAGTGTCATTGGAACAGGTAAGAGAAATTCCCTTCTGTAGGAATATAATGGACTAATGTTATTTTTTCAATGTGTCCATTTACGAGAAAATTTTCCATTCCAGGTAAACAATGATGGTTCTGTGACATTCATTAAGGCTGGAACATTTCAAGACACAACCTCTGATCCCGGAAATACTCCAGCAGTGTGTGGCCTGTGCACTGACATTGATGTAACCGTAAGTGGAACCGTCTGGTACGTCCTCAGTACGGCTTCAGCATTACGTCAAACTGTCGCCGAAGACGTCAGGCGATACCAGGAGTTCCCGGCAGACTATACGCCGTCCTGGGTACTGTTGGCGACGTGGGCCGATGTTGCTACATTTAAGTCAGAAGACAACAAGGCAAGTTGCCCAGTAGTGTGAGTGTGTTAGGTTTGACGCCGACATGAACACTATGACAGTTATAGCGGCGTGTGAGTTTGATGTTAGAGGATGGTGCGAAGTCATGCGGTTCGTAGACGCAGGTACCTCGTGAAACCCACGGTATGGTACCGACAAACCTTTAAACATAGTCAGGGCGAACCGGGATTGGAACCCACGGTCATAGGTCTAAGGGACGTAACTCTGCACTGTGTCTGGACCATCCCAATGTTTTAATTAACAGTATGTAGACTTTTCACTTATCACCATAGCCCCTCCCGGGTCTCGCAATATTGCACACTGACAGCCCACGATGGCGTCTGAATAAAGAACACTTATAAGGGTGACGACTGTGGTCAAGATTTGTGCGCAGCCTATGGGGAGGTTCAACGAGTAACTCAAAATAAAGACGACTGTTGTAACTGGTTAACATCGAATACAAAAACGGGCCGATGATAATATAAGGGTAACGCTATTTTTCAGGGCATTATCATTTGCAGAAGCCCGAGGTCTTCCATTAACTGGCCGACGAAGGAGGGAAGTTGAAAAGACCTCGGGCTTCTGCAAATGATAATGCCCTGAAAAAGAGCGTTACCGTTATTATAGCTAAATGGATGGAATTTGTTATAAAATAACAAGAAACAACAATATCCGCTTTGAATTATTTACTGCAATAAACATGAATGTCACTCACCCAATTTTACAAATATGGAAACGTCATAGAACAAACCAGATGACGTCACTATTGAACGTGACGTCACCTATCCCTACCCTATGGCGTCACCTAACAACCGGCGTGATAATGGCCCGTCGTAAAGCAATGTGAGGGCATTATCAAGTTACAGTGGCCCGCTGATTTCTGGTAACATGCGAGCGGTTTAATGATAAGTCTATCCATTTTAGCTATAATAGTTGATAAGTTAATTTTTTTTACGCATTTCTTTTTATGTTCCTTTAGGTCGACACATTCCAGATCACCATGGCAACTGATGGCACGGCGTCAGTCGTGATACTGTTCTATGAAAGGATAGAATGGGTGTATGATAATTCTGACTTTCTGGCTCTATATCAAGGCACAGAACCCTCCGTTCGTACACAGGTAAGTTGGTTCTGTTTGAAAGAGTATGAGATATATAGTTGATACAATAGTAATGCATAAAACGCATGTGGAGGTTCAGTTATGAATATGGTCGATTATCTTGTGAGTAAGTGAGTTCGGTTCGACACCGCTGTGAACAGATTGAGCTATATCACGGCCTGTCAGGTTAAAATGGGAGGAAAACGCGAATCTAGTTATTGAACAGTTTACACATTTGCTGAAGCCCCCAAGCATGGGTATAGTGATGACAATGTTCACTATATGGGTGAATCTGGGATTCGAATCCAAGACTAGAGGATCCTCGCTCGACGAACTGACGCTCATCTGCACAGCAACTTGGAGTGTCCAGAGACGATTGGTTGACTCTTGTCACCAGACGCTGGGGGCTTGGGGCTTGGGGCTTGGGACTTGGGGCTTGGGACTTGGGACTTGGTGGGGGTGGGGTGGGGTGTAGGTTTAGTTTCTCTTCCTGAATTACGCATTCAGCAATAGTGAAGCTATTACATGGCGGGATGTAAAGTACCTCAAAGAACAATGAGGGCTTGGGACTTGGGGCTTGGGACTTGGGGGGGGGGGGGGGGGGGGGGGGGGGTTAGGTTTGGTTTCTGTTGCTGAATTACTCAGTCAGCAATAGTGAAGCTATGTCATGGCGGGATGTAAAGAACTACGAAGTACAATGAAGAACGTGCGCTCCCAACCTGATGACGTCGTAAATTGTACGACGTTATTTTTGAGAGGGAAGCGTCTCATGAGTTGTTCTCCATAGATGCAGCTGGGCAACGTAGATAAACGCAATGGTCGAACGATCGCTTCCAAAAGTGGGAAAGCTACGACAATCCGTGTTTGGAGAAATTGTGCAGCTTATATAATTATCGACGTTAAAATTTTGCGAACACCAAACTTAACCCCACTGTACATAAAATGGAGTTACCGACATTGCCGAGGTCGGATTGTATTCAGGGTGTCATAATAATTTAAATACAACTAAATGCTGTGTGTATCTGAGCTGGCTGTATATGTATCTGACTTGTGACGTTAACATTGTGTATCTAAGCTGGCTGTATATTTATCGGACTTGTGACGTGTACATTGTGTATCTACGCTGGCTGTATATTTATCTGACTTGTGACGTTCACATTGTGTATCTAAGATGGCTGTACATTTACCTGACTTGCGACGTTTACATTGTGTATCTACGCTGGCTGTATATCTATCTTACTTGTGACGTTCACATTGTGTATCTAAGCTGGCTATATATCTATCTGACTTGTGACGTTCACATTGTGTATCTAAGATGGCTGTATATTTATCGGACTTGTGACGTGTACATTGTGTATCTACGCTGGCTGTATATCTATCTTACTTGTGACGTTCACATTGTGTATCTAAGCTGGCTATATATCTATCTGACTTGTGACGTTCACATTGTGTATCTAAGCTGGCTGCTTATTTATATGACTTGTGACGTTCACAATGTGTATCTCAAGATGGCTGTACACGTCGCTGACTGTGCGACGTTCACAATGTGTATCTGAGCTGGCTGTATACATATCTGACTACATATCCGCTAATTGTGTGTTCCAGAGCGGCTTCTTAGCTGGTGACGGGATGAAGTCGTACCTGCTGCCGGGATCCAAGTCTGATGAACTCATCAACATTACTAAACTGTCTAACGTTGGCGTTGCTGGCAAATTCATCTTCCGAGTTGACTCCGACATCCTTCCCGTGCACCTCCCTGACACAACAAGTCAGTATCTTTTACACTAATCTAAAGCTTATTTATTGTTTTTTTACGTGTGAATAATGCCACACAATAGAAATGTGTTTGAAGATTTCTGGTATTAACCAGTGATATTGAATTGACATTGGATAACTTATCATAAATTCACATTGAATGTATGATAATATATTTTCAGTTCATCTGTAAAAGAATTCCCAGATAATACAACAGATTACCAACAGAATACCAATGAAACAGTGAACTTCCATACAGTCATCCTGGATATGTGGATGAGAGTTAAATTTTAGCACAAGACTAAAAGGGCAAAGGAAAATACATCTGCATTGTTATATCTTTTCATATTTGATGTAGAAACTAAATATGTTAGTTACACAACAATTTATGCACATGCTATTTATGCCGTCCTGTTGAGTTCGGGCATCAATAGCCCACCATAGATTACCTAATATCTCAAACCTGTCAACGATTGAAATGTCATTGTTTAGTCAAACCTCGTTAACTCAAGGTCCACCATCTAGTTTAAGACGATTTATATTTCATTGTCCACATTACACGTTTGCGACCTTTGATGACTTGTGTGATATATTTGCTGTGCCTTTGATAATTCAACTTTTCAGAATTAATTTTACCAAAGTGTCTCATTCAAAGTATTTATGATTCATTTGTTTTCTCAATCGCCGACCGAGTTATCACTTTTCTTTTCTATGCCATTTTCACTGTCAGGCACATCTATTTACAATGCTCAAAACCCAACTGTCTCCTTCAAAAAGAATACATTTGAAAAATAACTTTCTGCTTCTAACTGACAAATATAAGAAACATAATTTGAAGGTGTTTGACAGTAAATATGACCCAACAATACATATTTAATTTTAAGTTTCACAACATGACTGGTTTATTACTTTCATAATTAAAGAGTCCATGAATATAATTTAATAAAATAAATTTCACGTTTACAAGTTCATAGCATAGATTTTACAAATTTTAACCTCTCAACCTTGCCTTATTTAATGCCTGGTCCAACTGTAAAAAGCAAGGCTTCAATGATACTGCTCATGCATATGCTGTCAGATACTTGTGTACCATGGTAATTTGGCCTACCTGTTAGTAGTTGCATCTTCATAAATAATCACAGAAACACGTAACACATCCTCCGTAAGGCGTATTAATAAAACACTGTCCGCTGTGAATAGAAATACATGTCTAAAAGACATTGCAAAGACACTGCACTGAAAGTCATTTGTCAGGAACCGATAAACTTTGCAGGAATGACAAATACCCGATATTATCATTCCGAAATTAGCCGACAATGATGGCTGACAACAGCGGTGACAACCATGTGTGGTCTCGTCCCGTCTAGCAAAGTAAGCAAAGAAGGCAAAACTAGTTCATGAGTATAGGTTTGTCACCGGAAATGCTGGTACCGGAAGTAGCCTTTCGCGAGACTTACGGTCCCTATACTGCTCGAACGGGTACTTTCCGGCACAGACAGTCAATAGTCTGCGCTGGGCAGATCTTTGTAACATCAAACACATCCGTGATGAACTGAGGCGTGTGAAAAGACAGCATCAACCATTATTTGACCTCACACAAATGGATAAGGTCCTCATGCATGACTGGAACATCCCACCTGTTAGTGTTGCCTAGTCAGTGACGTAGGATACATTTCGCTGTTATTTTCGGTCTTGAAACGTTCTTTTTACGATGAATATGGATATCCCGAATGTGTCGAACTCTGGTTAATCATCAGATCAAACAATAAATACACTTATTTCATCATCAGATCCAACATCCACCACACCTGCTTTATTATCGGATCCTACATCAACCACACCTGATTTTTCATCGGATCTAACATCTACTACACCTGCGTCGTCATCAGATCCAACATCCACCACATCTGCTTTATTATCGGATCCAACACAAACTACACCTGATTCACCAACGGGCCCAACATCAACTACAGCTGATTCATCATCGGATCTAACATTAACAACATCTGCTTCATCATCAAAGCCAATATCAACTACACCTGTTTCATCATCGGATCCAACGTCAACTACACCTGATTCACCATCGGATCTAACATCAACTGCACCTGTTTTATTATCGGATCCAACATCAATCGCATCTGCTTTATTATCAGATCCAATATCAACTGCACCTGCATCATCGGGTCCAACATCAACTGCAACTGCTTCACCATCGGATGAAACATCTACTACCCCTGTCTCATTATCGTATTCATCATCAACCACACCTGCTCGGGACGAGAGATCGGAGAGTTCAACATCCCTTCACACCTCTGTACTGTCAGTTATCACCCCCCATCTGGTAGGCGGCGCCTTGGCAGTGGCTATTCTGATAGCAATGGGGGTGCTACAGGTCGCCCTGTCGATGCTGTTCATACAAAAATTCAGGGAAGGGTTTCAACAGAGAGGACAGCGGAGAGACAGGGCTGTCGGTGATAGACAAATAAACTTGCCAGTAAAGATTGTCACATCAGGTCCTGGGTACTACCAACACTCTCTGTACACAAATGGCAAACCAAGGTGACAACATGAATAGCACTCCATTCGCCCATATGCATTCTATCAGACCATCGGGCAACAGGAATATCATCCTTTTCCGCGCATATGCACATCCAGCAGGTCAACATGAATATTAGCCTCTGTGCACGCGTACGCATCTAACAGGCCTGGGGGACAAGATGAATCTCAGCCTCTATGTCAATATACATGTCCAGCAGGCTAACGTGATAACATGAATATTAGCCTCTACGCATGTGTACACATCTAACAGGCCTGGGTGACAAGATTAACCTCAGCCTCTATGTCAATATACATGTCCAGCAGGCTAACGTGATAACATGAATATTAGCCTCTATGCACGCGTACACATCTAACAGGCCTGGGTGACAAGATTAACCTCAGCCTCTATGTCAATATACCTGTCCAGCAGGCTAACGTGATAACATGAATATTAGCCTCTATGCACGCGTACACATCTAACAGGCCTGGGTGACAAGATGAACCTCAGCCTCTATGTCAATGTGCACATCCAGCAGGCTGACGTGATAACGTGAATATTAGCCTCTACGCACGCGTACACATCTAACGGGCCTGGGTGACATCGTAGATCTGAGCCTTTACGTCAATGTGCACATCCAGCAGGCTAACGTGATATCTTGAATATTAGCCTCTACGCCCGCGAACACCTCTAACAGGCATCGATGACAACATGAATCTCAGCCTCTACGCACATATGCACATCCAGCAGGCTGCGATACTTTAAGATGTAATCTCTACATGTATGACCTCAGCTCACATCTGTCGGGCCGTGGTCATCATCGCACCCTGTGTGTCACTCTTGCGTTTTCTTTACACATCTGGGTGACCATGGAGACCAAATGATAATCTTGACGCTATATGTTCTTTGCATAAAATAGCAGACAGTGGACATTTACAATAACATCCTACTTGGGAGCCGTGGGGAAAACTAGACACTGGACACTTGACATCACTAACACACCTTTACACCCTCTTTAAATCCTCTGAGCAGTTGGCATTTACTTTTCTCTTTGGCAGTAGCACTTACTTTAAGACACATCTATGCAAAATAACGTGTCTGAGTATATTTCTGTCTGACATGATCTAACAGCATGTGGGGGATTAATGAACGCCGGGTATAGAGGTGTGACCAACACATATATTATATGTTTTTAAGTTGTTATACTATAGACACTTCTACATTGGGTTTCTATTTATTTTCCTTGTCAGTTCATCCTTTTTGTTATATACATATTTATTGAAACATGGGTAACCTGAATGAGATGAAGCGGCCTGAAAATCATCTAGTTAGGGCACGAATAAAGCATGGCCGTTTGGGAGATAATGTGATTTTATACTTTCCTCCACATTCAGAGACCAGTTGTATATATTTAGTTATTTTTCCTATGACATTTAATGTGGCACTGGACAACATCAATTTGTTTTGTTTCTAAAATAGTTGGTCGATACATTTCATGATCAACTTGCTAAGGTTTACCAGAAAGAAAAAGGTTCAATTTCATCATTAAGCAACGCTAAATCCGCGAATCAGCTTTAGTGTATTCGACGTCTACGTTTCACCATAAACATGACTGTGACAGTTTCGCGTGCCTAAATTCCAAAATTATCGTGTTTACACCTTATGACACATTAAACCTTATGAGCCCCATCCTTGTATACAAAACATTGTGTATAAAACCTTTGTATGCACACTGATGGTTTTTAGTTCACAACATGAAATAGAAGGCCACCCTTGTGGTTTATATACAACATGGGATAGAAGCTTAAGGCCGCCCTTGTAGTTTATATACAACATGAAATAGAAGGCCACCCTTGTTGTTTATATACAACATGAAATAGAAGGGCGCCCTTGTAGTTTATACACAACATGAAATAGAAGGCCGCCCTTGTAGTTTACACACAACATGAAATAGAAGGCCACCCTTCTGGTTTTCTATACAATATGGGATAGAAGCTTAAGGCCGCCCTTGTAGTTTATAAATCACATGAAATAGAAGGCCGCTCTTGTAGTTTACACAGAACATGAAATAGAAGGCCACCCTTCTGGTTTACACACAACATGAAATAGAAGGCCACCTTTGTGATTTATATACAACATGGGATAGAAGCTGAAGGCCGCCCTTGTAGTTTACACACAACGTGAAATAGAAGGCCAACCTTGTAGTTAACACAACATGACATAGAAAGCCACCCTTATAGTTTACACACAACATGGGATAGAAGCTTCATGCCGCCCTTGTAGTTTATACATAACATGAAATAGAAGGCCACCCGTGTAGTTTATATACATCATGGGATAGAAGCTTAAGGCCGCCCTTGTAGTTTACACACAACATGAAAAAGAAGGCCGCCCTTGTAGTTTATACACAACATGAAATAGAAGGCCACACTTGTGGTTTACACACAACATGAAATAGAAGGCCACCTTTGTGATTTATATACAACATGGGATAGAA